AACGGGGGTTCCTGAGAGGATGAAGTTTTAACATTGACTAAAGTGATGGATGCACCACCACTCTGTGAGCCCACTGCATTTTAAGGGTGTGAATTGTATGGCACGTGAACTATATCTTAAGGAAATTTTTACAGGAAACAAACCAAAAACCGAAAAGAGATTCGCAAACTGAGTTTAAAAGCCTGAAGGAAGGGGAGCCTGGGTGGTTCAGTCGGTTAAACGTCTGACTCTTGATTTTGGTTCAGGTCATGTTCCCAGGATCACAGGGTTGTGAGATAGAGCCCTGCATGGGGCTATGCGCTGAGTGCGGAACCTGCTAGGGATTCTCTCTCCCTCTGCCTCCCCGACCCCCCACTCCCTCTCATGTGTGTGTGCAGGCGCACTCTCTCTCTCTCTCTCAAAAAAAAAGTCTAAAGAAAAGCAACAGATTTTTAAAATTTATTATTTTTTTTAACATTTATTTATCTTTGGAGAGACAGAGTGTGAGCAGGGGAGAGGCAGAGATAGGGAGACAGAATCTGAAGCAGCCTCCATGCTCTGAGCTGTCGGCACAGAGCCTGACGTGGGGCTTAAACTCATGAACCATGAGCCGAAGTCAGATGCTTAACAGATTGAGCCACCCAGGTGCCCCCAGGTTTTAAAATTTTAAATACTTTACTGTCTTCAGGCAAAAGTCAATTTATAGGTCATTTAATCTGCATGTAAGAGCACCTTTGAAGGCACCTGAAAACACAGGTCACAGGTCCACGTAAACCACGCGTGGCTGTGGGCACAGGCTGAGCATGGGTTGTGTTCAAATCAAAGAGGGGGCTCAGTGACATGGGGGAGGGAGCTGAGCACACTGGGGGCTGACTAGGTATCCATGGGACCAGAGCATGAGAGGTGGGGGCTGAGGACAGAGTCCGGGCCAGCTGGGCTACAAGTTCTCATGGAGTGCGGGGACCTCCTGACTGACCACAGAACCCCAAACAGAAACCTGAGTGTTGTCCTCAATACCTGCTTCCACATTTGTCTTCCTGGGTGGTCAGATGCATTCTCCCTCCCCTGCCCTTGACCCAGGGCCTCCTCCTTCCTCTCCCCACCCACACCCTGTGCCACTCTGCCCGAGGCGTGATGGGTTTTCGTTCCGCTGAATGCTACTCAACACCTCCCTGACCTGGTGCCTGTGGTGCCCGCCCTGCCCCTCCCGCCTGTCCTTCCTTCACCCCTGCCCAAGGGAGGTCCAGGGCTCTGACCCTTCAGCCGTTCCCTGAGATGAGGAAGCAGGACAAGCAAAGAAAGCAGGGCCCAGGTTCTGGTGAGTTCTCGGGCCCTTGGATGCCTCCAGGCCCTACATTGTGCCACTGGCCTCGCAGACTTGGTGCGTGGAGCGGATAGGTCGGCCAGGCCGTGCCCGAGCGTGTGCTTATGTCTTTCACAGAGGGGAACGTTGAGGGCAGGAGAATGAAGGCATCCACAAAGCCAGGCCAGCTATCAGCTGGACAGCACGAGCCGTGTCCACTACCAGAGGCAGGGGAAGGTCCGCTGTCCTCAGGACTCCAAAGTGGGAAGAAAACATCCGACGCGTGGTCAAGCACAGAGACACCTTTATTGGTTCCTGGACCCAAATGGCAGGAGTCTCAGGACTGTCTTCCCTCTCCCTCCATGCCCCAGCAAGTCAGCCTCAGACCCTCTGGCGCGGGAGCTGTGGCTGGGGCATCAGGCTTGGATCCCTACAGAGGGAAAGGGCTTCCCCAGCCCTGGTACAATGTCCCGGCAAAGACCTTGAGCTGGGTCACATGCCTGCCTCGTGGGTCAAGGCCAGGAGATGGCGTGGGGAGGGCACGGTTGGTGTGTGTCTGGGGAGTGGGCCCTCCGCGCAGCAGGGAAGCCAGAGGCCCCCCCCGGAGGATGGCACCCCATCCTGCATCTGTCACGGCAGTTGGCTAAGGCACGCTGGCTGGATCGTGTCCTGTGGCAGAAGGCCAGAGACGTGCTGGGGACCCTGACCCTCTCCGGACGTGTGGCTGACAGATGCAGCTATTTTTTCCTCCCTGGGGACTGGGAACTGCTCGTACAGTTGTCAGGGGCTGGGGCAGCTCGTTTGGTGGCAGCTCCGGAGTCCTTCTTCGGGGCTGGCCTGTGCTTCTCCTCCTTCCCCGGAGGGGAAGACCGGGGGGAATGAGGCCTTGAGTGCAGGGCCTGCACGACCCTGATGGCCCCCACTGCGGCGAGGAGCCCCCAGAGCAGGGTGGAAGGCTCCAGGGGAGACAGCTGTCTCCGGACCCAGTGGAGGGCCTGGGCCAGGGTGTTGCTGGAGCTGCGGGCTCGGGGTGGGCTCTTGTCCTGTGGGTGTAGGATTGAGGAAGGTCCGTGGGGACCACTCCTGTGGGGGAGGGTCACCCCTGCCACTTCCCCCTCCCTAACGCCTTCCCACCTGAAGGCCAAACTGTCTGAGCAGCATGTCCAGCGTCGGGTCCCCCAAGGACACTGGTGGGAAGAATTCCTCTACCCACTGGCGTCGCCACCACTGGCTGCAACAGGGCGGGATGTTCAGGGGCTGCCTGAGCTCAGGCCCCAGCTTCCCACTGGGCACCCTGGCCTTACCTCTGCTCCCCAGGATGTGAGAACCAGTACTTGTAGCGCTGGGCCCGCAAGTAGGTGGGTGGCTGCTTGTGGAAGGGGTACTTAGTCACGTCGTTCTGGATGAGGCGGATCACTGCCAGGGAGTGGGCTCAGCACAGCCAATGTTCTCTCGGCCCCACCCTCCCCTTCACACACACCCTGCCCCCCACCAGACCCTACCCTTCCCATGAGCCACCCCCAACTCCCCACGGGGTCTCACCAGGCTCCTTGCCCTGCAGCAGGCGCAGGACCAGGCCCGTGAACCAGGGGCTGTGAGAATGTGGGCCCAAGGCTGCGAACCACATCTGCCAGTCGAGGCGGGGCTGGTGGGGCGCCACGATGGGGGGTGGCCGGCTCACGTTCCCGGGCTTGTACATGAACTCGATCTCCTGCCCGGCAGAGCAGGTTAGCACAACTCGCTGGACTGGATGGACCCTCCCCCTGCCCTCTGCAGGTCCCTCCCTGTCTCGTGGGGCCCGCAGGAGCATTTACCACCCAGCGGTGCCCGTCATAGCTGCCCTCCAGCACCACTTCGGGCCGCCCACCCAGACCGGTCATCCGGCGGAAGAGGCCGTAGGAGTTAGCCAGCTGTAGGTGCTCTACGGTGCCAAACAGGCGGTGGGCCCCAGTCCAGAGTCGCCCGTGGGTTGAGGGTTCCATGTAGGAGTATGGCACCTAGAGGCAGGTGGGCGAGGCTCAGTGCTGCCCCTCCGGACCCCACCCTCCTCCCCGAGTGCTACCCACCAGGCTGATCACAAACAAGGCCACCGTGGCAGTGCCGAAGATGAGCAGCTGGACTGCAGTGCAGAGCCTCCTCGGCCACCCTCGCACCTGGGTCCACCTGGGGGGCGGGGGACCCGAGTGCTGTCAGGCCTGCCCTGCGCAGCTCTGCCCCACCCCCTCGGGCCTCGTACCTCCAGAGGGCAGTCAGCAGTTCCCAGGTGAGGGAGGCCACCCCCAGCCACATGGTGGGCAGGGTCACCGTTTTCAGCCACTGGGAAAACTGGTGGAAGGTAAAAGCTGCAGAGGAAAAGGGGTGTGAGGAGGGACGGTCCAGCTCTGCCCTCTGGTCCCCCCAGCTGGCACTCACTGGTTCTGGAGTGGACAGCATGCTGCTCCCAGTCAACTTCCAGGCCGAAGTAGTGCACGGTACCATAGGCTAGCAGCCCGTAGATGGTGAATTCCAAGAGCAGAGACAGCACAGCCAGCAGCGTCCTGGGCCAGGCTGTTGAGCAAGACAGTCATAGTCTTGGGCTGGGGCGGAACTAGAGCAGGGGTCACTTGGGGGGTGGTGGAGGGAAAGAAACTTGCTGGTGGGTGGTTGGGCTGAGAGTGTCTGACCGTCTGGGACAAGCTGACACTCACAACTGGCTGTCTTTTTGCAGTGGCTGTTGCCAGGTGTAGCAGTCAGGTGCCCATCATCCAGAAGAGCGGTGGTGAGCACCAGCGTGAGCAGGTTGAAGAAGTTATAGTTGCCAGTGATGATAATGAGGACTTGCAACAAAACCTGGGGGAGGGTTTGCACTGAGAGTTCCTGAGGCCCACCCCCTTCCTGGCCCTTCAGAGCCTGCTTCAAGCCCCGCTGCACCCTGTGCCTAGGTCTCTCCTGCAGGCATCCCCCCCCCCCCCATCATCCCCGGGCCTGTGTTATGTTCTCACTCCACTGTCCTCTACCCCCTGCTCATACCTTCCGTAGCTCATACCACCTGGAAGAAACCCCAGCTCAGCATGCCTCGTGCAGCCCTTCTGCACCTGCCTCTGCTGACC